TCGCAGGGTGTGAGATCTGGAAACCTGGGAAATGCACGTTGAACAAGTGTCCGTGATTCAGTTTTTGCAAATTCAAGGACACAAACTCCTTTTCTGGTTGAGTGAACGCCATTACTGGATATGAAAAAATATGAAAAAATTATTAACATTACAAAAAAACTTAATGAATTTAGCTTTAAAATGGTACCAGTTTCTTTTTACTACCATTCATAGTTCAGCTGATATGAGGACTTGAAATGTGCCCAAGACTTCTGGAACACCCTGTATAACAGACAATGAATGTCTATTATGTTTGACCAAGAGCTCTTCTAAAGTTCTGTATTTCCTTTAATTTCGGGTGAAAATAAAGACAAAATTGTCCAACATGCGGCGATAACAGTCGCGGAATAACAGACGCCGGTCGTAAGTTCCGGATGCGGTTTTATGACGTCATACCACTTGAGAGACCGAAATATTAACAACAGAACCATATGTCTAGATGCATTGTAATGTGTTGTAACTAGTTTGAAATTACGCTATCGTCGTATAGCAATCTTAATCATATCAACATAACAGAATATCATCTTTGATGGTGAATATCTTTGTTTAAATGTCCATATAACCACTCTGAAGATGACACGTGAGCCGAAAGGTTATATCAAGGAAGAGCTTAATAAAGAAAATATCCAAATGTTGGACAATTTTTGTCTTTATTTTCACCCGAAACTAAAGCCAACATAGAATGTTTAGAACGGCTCATGATCAAACATAATATATATTCATTGTGTGTTATATTTAACAATATATATATATATATATATATATATACATACATTGAACGGTTGAACAGTGTACATCAGCCTTTGCAATTAAAATGTTCGATACTAAATAGAACATTAACAACAACAAATAAATTAAATGTTCTACTCATCTGTCCCGACTAGGAGTTTTGCGGATATGGTATCCACTCATCCGGGGTTTTAATATTAAAATTCAATTTTTTTTAAAATAAAGTAAAACATTATTTCTGTAAATCATTTCAGTTTTACTGTCAAACCAACTTTGTCTGCTTCCATCATTGTTAAACCATTTTGTCCAATTCCGTCATTTTCAAGTCAACTTTGTCCGTTTCCGTCATTACCAAGTTCATTTGTCCGTTTCCGTCATTATCAAGCATATTTTCTCCATTTCCGTCATTATCAAGTCCATTTTCTCCATTTTCATTATCAATTCCACTGTGTCTGTTTCCAACATTATCAAACTCTCTTTGTCCATTTCCGTCATTATCAAGTCAACTTTATCCGTTTCCCTTATCAAGCACTTTTTGTTCGTTTCCATCATTACTAAGTTCAATTGTCCGTTTCCGTCATTATCAAGCAACTTTTGTCTATTTCCATGATTATCAAGTCCATTTTCGTCATTATCAAATCTTCTTTGTTCATTTCCGTTACTATCTTTGTCTGTTTCCGTCATTATCAAGTTCATTATCATGTATTACATTCCATCAATATGATAGACAAAATTTTGTTAGCTGTATTCTGGTATTTTTGGAATTTTACATTTTAAGCTTAAATAAACGTATAACGCAATAATGACGTCACAAGCAGATCGTTTTTCACAGAGTTTGACAGCGCCAGAAAATGAATATATGAAATATACATTACGTACTAGAATTAAATGATGTGGACTTCCAATATTATATATAAATTGTAAAATTCCGTCTCTTTTGAGGAAATATATTTTATTTAATGTGGATTGTTTCTTTTCTATAATAATAGCTCCGAACACGTATCGATTATCGCATCTCAACCAACCAAAATACAACTATCAACATAAAACAAATATTAGTAGATATAAAAAAATACTCATTATAAGGAAAGGCACAAAATACTTTAAGCTATTGACGATTAAAAGTAATCGAACATAAATAGGACAAAAACATTAACTCAGCGTTGTTTAACTTTGGTGATTGGACGAGAACCGGTATTATAATGTAACATGGCCTTAATTCTTGATATGAACAAAAATAAAACACTATTAAGCTATTCATTTTAACTAGGCACATCTTCATATATATCAGATGAAAAATCAATTAAAATATAACTCGGTGATGTGTAAAAATAACGATCCTAATAAATACCTTAGATTCATAATTGACTATTAAAAAATTGAAAACGTCTAATCTAATTATTATCAATAAGTCAGGAGCTAAAAAAAATCGAACCTATATAAAGCTAGTGTTGTTTATGAATTATCCTGTCCTTTGGAAGATTGTATCTCTAATATTTTTTACATTGGCCAGACATGCACCATCTTATCACGTAGCTTGACTTGTCACTTGTGCAATTCGTGCATACATCGACCATCACATTACAATCAATCAAAATACAATTATATCGATATAAGACAAATATTAGTAGATAATAGTAAAATACTATAGAACACCAAAGAAAGATTCAAAATATCCGGGGCTATTATTATTGAAAAGAAACAATCCGCCTTAAATAAAATATCTTTCAAAACAGGAGACGACATTTTAAAATGTCTATAAAATAATTATATGTGCAAAATAACTAGAAACTCATTTCCGATGTTGTGAAACTCTGTAAAATCATTCTAGATATGTCTTCATTTCCAGGATATAAATCACACACTTTTTTTATCAATGATTCTGACATCATTTAGTTCTTGATAATGACTGAGACACTCGCGTATAAACAAAACCAGAACAAAAATATGAACTTTGGACAGTTTATCCGCAATTCTAATCCGGATGGACAGTAAATTATTCAGGAACTGGAAAGAAAAAACAATAAAAATTAAGTAGGCAGACCTTATCAGGGGAATTTAACACACCACTATTATATATATATATATATATATATATATATATAGACAGACACACGCAGACACACACAAACGCACACACACGCACATACACACACACACACACACACACACACACATATATATATATATATATATATATATATATATATATATATATATATATATATAGAAGAAGGAAATTACTGGAAAGTAATTGAAACTCACCTGAAGTGAGCTGATTGTGGGATGCCCTCATGCCAATGACACTTGGCATGAGGAGCATTACACATTCATATATATATATATATATATATTTATATATATATACAAACACACACACACATACATATATATATATACATATATCCAGGTAAGATGAGAATAGAGTACAATTCCGACGAATGTAACATTTAATATAAAGAAGGCCCAATACAAAGTAGAAAGATATTCTTTATTTTAGGATATTACGTCGAAAAAAAAATGTCAAAATAGCGAAATAATTACAGTCGTTTATTAAATTTAATTTTCAATCACCTGATGAGATGCATTTGATACGCATCGAAACACGACTGCAATTGTTTAGCGATTTTGACAAGTTATTCAACTATGAATTGAGCTCCCCTGGCTATTGGCTTATTTCGTACAGAAAACGTTAAAATACCCCATTGCCATGTTATGATAGCTTAGGGGCAGGATCTCTGACTGATGCCAAACCGGTTGAGTTTCGGACCCGGCTTGGAGCAATCGAACGTCTAGCCAAACTGAAGAGCTGTGATACAGAAAAACAGACTGTCTCTGCATGACTATACATAGAGAGAGAGAGAGAGAGAGAGAGTATTTGTTTTTGAAGTTATGGATTTTTCAATCCGACATATTTGTTATCATTTTAAACGTTATTTTTAGTGGATACTCAAATATAAATGTATATTAAAATATGAGACTGCACTAATAATATCTCTTAAAGTGATAATCCGGTGGAATTAATAAATAAATATACATTATTTTAGAAAATTACCTTGTTTACGTTTGGACACGAAACTGAGCAAATATGTAAAATTCGAGGAATTTGTGATGGGAAGGATTTGGCTTAAAAGCACTGTTCAAACATTGAATAAGGATGGATCAATATACATTATTCGGTCTATTGCCCTCATTTTTGACGCCATATTTATTACAACGTTTCGGCCGTTGTACGCTCCGGCCTTCTTCAGGTGGTTGGAATGTCGAGCTGAACCCTTTATTTTGCTCACTGTTCTAGTTCCACGTGCAATGTTTTAATGGGTGTCAGTTATGAGTTATCTCCTGTTAATTCACCTCTCCAAGTTCTCCACTGCCTTAAACGGGTATTGAACTCTTTGTGTCCTGTCACTGGATCTAACTAACGCCTTTATCCACTGTGCTATTTATCTTTGAGGACATCTGTGTATGAATTTCTGGGTATTATAAACCTAATGTCTTAGGCAACGATTTTTTACCAGTGCTCATATTGTAATTTTTGCTGTTATCATAAATAAATATGGCGACAAAGATAAGGACAATAGACCGAATAATGTAAATAGTATACATAATACCTCATCTCAGAAATATAGACACACACTGAAAGGCCGAAACGTTGTAATAAATATGGCGACAAAGATAAGGACAATAGTCCGAATAATGTAAATAGTGTACATAATACCTCATCTCAGAAATATAGACAGATACTGAAAGGCCGAAACGTTGTAATAAATATGGTGGCAAAGATGAGGACAATAGTCCGAATAATGTAAATAGTGTACATAATACCTCATCTCAGAAATATAGACAGATACTGAAAGGCCGAAACGTTGTAATAAATATGGCGACAAAGATGAGGACAATAGTACGAATAATGTAAATAATGTACATAATACTTCCTCTCAGAAATATAGACAGATACTTGATCAATATGTCTGTAGATTGATACAAGGTTAATTCGCTGAATTTCGATTTAAAAGTTTCATTATATAATGTGCTGCTGAAAGGTTCTCAAGTCAATTCCTCAAATCTGACCAAATGACCAAATCTCTAATGATTTTTCTTCTTTTGGTTGTAGAATTACCGATGGATTTTCATTAATGAAGAACCTTTCAGTTATATAAACAAATAAAGAGATTAGGTTGAGTTTATGGTGAAGGGGGATATGGAAGTCTATACCGATAGAAAATTCGTTGTCACAGGCTTCTAGAAATAGACAGAAGAAAAGAGCCGGAAAATATGGGTGCTTGATTAAGCGAAAGCGTATTTTCAATGAAGGAGACATTAAGGAAAAGAAAGAAAGAAAGAAAGAAAGAAAGAAAGAAAGAATGCTTGCCGAATAACTAAAAAAAAACTGACAAAAAATTGAGAAAGTGGAAAGAAAGACCAAGGAAACTTCAGCGAGAAAGAAAAAAAAAGATTAGAAAAATGAAATGAGAAGACAGAAACATCATCAAAAACGAAAAAAAAAAAGAAAGAAAGAAATGATAAAGAAAAGAAGAAAAAAAGAAAAAACAAACAAGGAAATAAAGAAACAAAAAAAGAGAAAATTTGATAAAGAAAGGAAGAAATAAAGAAAAGAAAAAAATTGAAAAAGAAAGAAACAAAAATATCTCTGGTCAGAAATCCGAAGTTAATTCTTCTTTTGAGAATGACTTCGGCAATCACGATATTACTGCAAATTTTATTAGTGCACCCGCATAATAGAAATCGATAAATCTATTAGGTACAAGTGCTTTCTTTCTATGAATACGTCGTAAGGGTTTGGGCGTGATTCTGGGTGCGGTCTGAGCTTTGAAATTCCAGAAGAACGGTTGGGGTAAAATCAACTAATTTGCGTCAAAGCTCGTATTTTCATTGCAGACATGGACAAACACCAATCTATTGAGTTTTGACTTAAATTTAACAAAGCATTGTTTGTAAGTTGACTTTTAGAAGAATTCATTCTTTTCATTGAAAACCGCCGAGGAATTCTTGAAAGTGCCGCAAGAAACAAAAGAAAAAGTGTTGGCAATGTGCAGACAAAATTAACAGTTTTCTATGGCAAAAAAAAGACATTTTTTACAATTAACACATCATGTGCTAAAGACAAACTAGTAACAGACACACGAAAGAAATTGCGTATATGCTTGTGTGAATGATAGTATATGAGTATGTATGTGCGCATGTGTAAGTCTGCATATATATATACATATATATATATATATATATATATATGTGTGTGTGTGTGTGTGTGTGTGTGTGTGTGTCTGCGTTTTGGCACTTCGATGTGGTGTAATGGTTAGTAAGTTTTAGTTGCTTAATCCCTTACGTCTGAGTTGTGAGTTCAATAGTTCACTCGGTGCTCCATATTTACGGCTTTGTACCACACCTGAGCTACGCTTAGTAAATTACTATTACTATATATGTGTGTATATATGAATGTTTATGTGTGTGTGATTGCATCCATATATATATATATATATATATATATATATATATATATATATATATATATATATATATATATATATATTATAGGTTATCACATTCGAACATGCATATTACTGCTACAAAAATACATTATTGTTTCTATGCACAATCTCATCAGGCAGTGGTAAATGATGGTTATAACAATTTTTAAACACTACTTATACAAATCATCTTTTTTTTAAAAAAAAAAAAAGAAGAAAGACATAAATAATTCTCAAAAAAGTTATAGTAGATAATGAAAACAAGGAAATGCATTAATTTTACTACCTGTAAATTTCTTTACAATCATGAGGCCATCGTCCCTTTGCAACCCTATACTATCTAAAGTGATCTCTTCATAAGCAGTAAGATTATATAATATGAAAAATCCAACCAAATTAGAAGATTCTACAGAATCTAATGATCCCATAGAAATATCGAAGTTATCATCAGTATCTTTAACCCACTGTTCTTTATCGAGGATCAGGACTGATTTCCTTTTCCCTTTTTTGTAAATGTTGTATAAGTAATGAGATAGAGAGATATATTGAAAGATAGATATATATGAGCAGACTGAATAGATAGATCGATAGGTACATACATACATATAAAGAGACAGATATAAAGAGACTTAGATAGATAGATAGATAGATAGATAGATAGATAGATATGAACAGAATGAGATAGATGAATATGTAGAAATTGAAATAGATCTGAATAGAATGAGATAGATACATACATGCATACATATATACATACATATAAAGAAACTTCGATATGAAGATATGAAGAGACTTAGATAGATAGATAGATAGATAGATAGATAGATAGATAGATAGATAGATAGATAGATATGAACTTATAATCCAACCTTTTCGTCGTTATGTCCTATCAAATGATTTCTAAATCTGCGTTCAAAGCATTTCTATCACGGTAAAGATTTTACAAGAACATTCATTAAATCTACACACGCAAAGTTATCGTTATTTATATATTTGAAACCAAATATTCATAATCCAGATGAGACTTCCGTTCTTGGATAATCGTCTTAATTGTTTATATCACTCCGTTCCGGTCAATGCATTTCCAGGCCTTCCCACGTCTACCTGTCTGTCAGGTAAATTTCTCGTCATATTAAAATGAAGCCCCTTAATTGTACCATACGTCCGACTAGTTAATGTCACATCAATTTTCGATGCGACGAAATATTTTACTATAATAAATGAATTTACTCAAGTGATAATATTTTCCTATAAGTTCGACTTTCCATTTTAATTTCTATCATTGGTCTGTTCTTATTCAGAATATTTTGTTAGAAAGGAAGACAGACTGAAATCATTTTAGCGGCGATTTGAAAAGTCGCCTCTGTGCAACCGGACCTTAACAAGAGTCGACAAATTGAAAAACGAAGCCAGCAATGGTTTTACGGACTGAGAAAATCCAAGATACGATCTGCCCGTCGGTCATTTTGCTGGGGAGGATCAGAAAATTTAAATTAGTGTACAAACTTAACACCGCAACATGTGCCAAAAAAAGAAAAGAAAAAATACCTGTCGATTGCACTTCGGTAGAAACTAACTTCACTGTAGAAAGTAATGGATTTATGAATATAAATTGGCATTTATAACCCAATAATGAGAATTTATTGTATGTCAGAGAGTTTTTCAACATTTTTCCAAGTTTTTGTTTAATGTCGTTTAGCATCCTCTCTATAACAGGAGTCGGCCACCTACGGTACGCGTGCCACACATGACACACCAAGCAATTTCCAATGGCACGCAGACGCAAATGATGTCATGAAGTCCGAACCAATAACTACTACAACGCAAAGAATATATTTAGCTGCTTTTTCAATTTTAATATATATTGAAGTATATATGCTATATATTACTATATAAAATCAGAAACCCAATCCTAAAAAGAAAACAAGAAATAAATCTCTACTCCTGTTCAAAAGACTGGAAAAGAGTGTGAACCGGCCAATAGGTGAATCAGAACAGAAATCTACCAGAGATCATATTGTATTGAGCAGGAGTCGAAAACCGTGCATCATGCCAAGCAATTGCCAATGGAACGCAGCCGCAAATGACATCATGAAGTCCGAAGCAATAACTACTACAACGCAAAGATATTTAGCTGTTTCAATTTTAATATATACTAAAGTAAATATACTATTTATTAGTATATAAAATATATTGTAGAAGAGGTATATTGACCTTGACTTGTATAAAAACGCGTATGTTGTTGGCATACTGGTTGATTTTAAAACCCTAAGTCGGCACATAGCAAAAGGTTGCCGACCCCAGCTCTATAAATTAACTAAAATTTTCAACTAGCCTGATGTCTTTTTATGAATGTTGTTAAATTTAAAAATTTTGAAAACCTAACGACATTTTTACTTTTGTTTATAAATAATTGTTGCAAAATATAAACCTTACTTTTTCCTTGATAAAGTCCATGATAAACGCACCGGTTAAAATATGGGTTTTGTCTTTATTCATATTCTCCTTTCACAGATATATTTTTATATATAACTGAAATTGTATATATATATATATATATATATATATATATATATATATATATATATATATATATATGAAACAGTTTTTTAGTAAAATAGACTTCTTCTGATTGTTATCGCTTTTTTAGTATTGATAGATATTTCCTTTCTTTTCTTTTGTTTAAGGTGATATGGAAAGTCAGAATCTTAATTATCTGAGTATTTCACCTTCTAATTACATGGACTACCAATTTTAGTTGTTGTTGTTGTTGTTATTGTTGGAAGTATTTAAGTGATGTGGTTTCTATTATTTGTTAAAGCTCTATGTGATTTTGTGGGGTCTGATAAACGATTGCCTTCTTTAACACCAGGTTATTTTGCTTGAAGCTAACTAATTGACTACATAACAGCTCTATTCTTTTAGTAACACTTACATTATTTCTTAGTTTGTTATACACAAAAAACAATTCTTTACAAAGGGAATGGTGGCGAAGTGGTAAAGTCAGTGGGAAATGATCACCAGAATTTGATATGACTACGTAAGCAATCAACTCAAGTTTTGTCCTAGTTGGAGGATAAAGCCTAACTATGATAAATTCTGCCGGTAATACACTATTTACATTATTCGGACTATTGTCCTCATCTTTGTCATTTATTTTTCGTTTTCAGTATCTGTCTATTTTCTGAGATGAAAATATTATGTACATTATTTACATTATTCGGATTATTGTCATCATCTTTGTCGCCATATTTATTACAACGTTTCGGCCTTTCAGTATCTGTCTATATTTCTGAAATGAAGTTGTAATAGATATGGCAACAAAGATGAGGACAATAGTCCGAATAATGTAAATAGTGTACATAATACCTCATCTCAGAAATATAGACAAATACTGAAAGGCCGAAACGTTGTAATAGATATGGGAACAAACATGAGGACAATAGTCCGAATAATGTAAATAGTGTACATAATACCTCGTCTCAGAATTATAGACAGATACTGAAAGGCCGAAACGTTGTAATGAATATGGCTACAAAGATGAGGACAATAGTCCGAATAATGTAAATAGTGTACATAATACCTCATCTAAGAAATATGGACAGATACTGTCGGTGATATCATAGATTACGGTTCTATTATATAATTTTCGTCAATATCATTACACCTCGGTCATTTTAGTCGTCAGAACAAAATATCACAATTGTATTTATATAGAACTATTTTAATAGACAACGAACTCCGTTCACCAAACTATAAAGAGGAGTGTGACCAGGATGTGTTTTCTCATTGGATTTATTTACTACATCAAGATAATTCTCAGAGGATTAATCTACAAGGATTTATTATTGGAGCTACTAATCTTAACAACCTACGCAACGAAGATTACATTGTTGTGATGGGAGAATCAATCGGAAAATAGGATAAACTATTTAAAAAGTTAATAGAAGAAATGAAAGAAAAATTAACTGTTAGAAGATGTAGTGTGCAAAAGAGACAACCAAAGGCGTGAATTACACATCAGGGACGTCAAATTTAAATAAGTACAGAAATTCACTTAAATGTGAATTATGTGAATAAAGGACAGAAAATGTGAAACAAAAACTTCGAAGATGGATAAAAATAACGAAAGACACATTTCAGAAAATTGATAACTCATTTCAGAGAAGGAAAAATAACATTAAAAACGAAGAAAAGAGTTCTGGACTACTCTGGGGTCTTCCATTAGGGAAGTTATTTTCTGTCCACACAAATAAATGATCTGATTGTGATTTGATTGTTTAATGGCATATAAACTCTTTATGGGTCATTTAATGATAAAATTTAATTTTCTTTGGAGATTTGAAGTAATAAAAATATATATGATATATCGGGTCCGCACCGATCCTTCAGAGTTTGTCTATATTTCTGAGATGAGGTATTACGTACATTATTTACATTATTCGGACTATTGTCCTCACCTTTGTCGCCATATTTATCACAACATTTCGGCCGTTGTACACTCCGGCCTTCTTCAGGTGGTTGGAATGTCAAACTGAACCGTTTATTTCGCTCACCGGGGTAGACTGTTCTAGTTCCACGTGCCATGTTTGATGGATGTCAGTTATCAGTTATCTCCTGTTAATTTCCCTCTGAAAGTTCTCCACTGCCTTAACCGGGTATTGAACTCACATTCTTTGGGTCCTGTCACTGGATCTAACCAACGCCTTTATCCACTGTGCCATGTGTCCTTGAGGATAACGGCCGAAACGTTGTGAAAAATATGACGACAAAGATGAGGACAAAAGTCCGAATAATGTAAATAAAAATATATATGTTATTGTGCTTTCACAACTGGATACATGGTAGATGATACTCACCTTTTGTGCATATAAATGTTTGTGTGGACATGATTACTAGAGTCGGTGATATATGTGTTTTATGTTGTAGCTTTGTTGAACTTATATTTTGGAATACAGTTTAAGAAATTGTAGGATATTATATGGAATTATCTCATGAAAGAATTCGTTCATGTTTGTCTTTGTTTAATAGCATATCAACATGTATGGGGGTTATTTAATGTTGAAATTTAAATATTTTGAATGCAATAGTATACCTTCAACTACAGATAAAATGTATTTTTATGTCATTTCACTATAAATATGTATCGTTAGTCATTGTTTATATAAAAATGTATTGCATGTATTTTTACTATAAAAATGATTTTTATACTTTTATCATGTTATGCTTTGTTTGGAAGTTCACTATTTTCCCATAGCTGGGACCCTAACAGGTGCTACCACCCACGGGAATAGGTGGTTCCATTCTCCTCAAAACTTCTAATCTCCCGAACAGGGGCCTTGCTGCCAGATGTAGTTTATCGTCATACCCAGGATTGCACACAAACAAAGGAAATAACTTGATGCAACCCAGATGAGAAATATGGAGAATACCATGGAAATAGAACGCATCAACTGACATTTGGGGGCGGGGTGGCACATGAGGTAAAAAGGCTTGGTGAATTTAACACTCACATGAGAGAGCATTAAATTGAGTGAGGCAAGAGAAGAATGAATAGAAAAACGAGTTCCAAATAGAGAAATATTAATTATAAAGGAGAAAGTATACCTGAGAGCAACAAAAGAAAGGAAAGCGTGGAGAGCCATCATTGTCAACGTTCTGAATGAATACGTGAGGGTTTGAGTAATTACAATATTTATAGTGGAAGTATTCATCGATATAATAATGACAGATTCATTTTATTGCTATTTTCTCTTCAAAAGAAACGATATAATCTGAATTTGTCTTTAGTTCTTTGTTAACGAAAACCCTTAATAAATAAATCAAAATATCAGTTCTTCGGTCCATTTTCACTGATTAAATTATGTCAGACCTTTATCGATTTCTTAGCAACCAGAGTTTGGTTATGGCGAGGAAAAACGCCTTGAATATGACCTTTGACACTTGATTAAATAATCACTTTATTTTTTTCTCATTGTGTTTTTTGGCGAAAAAAGTTTCCTGAATCCATTTTGCATTTTATTATTTTCTTTCAAATTCTTGTGAGTGTGTTAAGTTGGTTACCTTAGTTTTATTAATCTTAAAAGCGTAACAAAAAAAAAATACAAAACAGTTTTAAAACACTTCTAGAAATTACTTGTCTTAAGACAAGAACAAGTTTTACTTGTTCCATTCGATATAACGTTAACAAAACAAAAAGGTCACGGATCTGTTGACATGTCAGAGAACGACAGAACTGTATTAATAAAATAATACAAATGTCTTTTGTGAATTATACAGTTGCTTTGACTACGAACTATTCTGGAAACGATTTGACGAATTTCATAAAGAGGTGGAAGGAGAGACCGACTTTCTAAATTTAAGAGAAATCTATTCGGTCAATAATTCTACTGTGATGAGAAGTTACCGAGATTTTTGTTGTTGCCATTTATCTCCCCTTTGTTTTATTGTCATTATTTATTATTATTATTATTATTTATTATCATCATTATATATTATTATTTATTATTTATTATTTATTATTATTTATTATTATTTATTATTATTATTATTATTTATTATTATTATTATTTATTATTATTATTTATTATTATTATTATTGTTATTTATTATTATTTAT